TGGTTTGACAAGAGCACATATAGAGAAAGCCGATGCCACTGGGCCTAGAGTACCCGCGATCATGGGGAAAGCTGCCGAAGCAAACCACCAACGGCTAGAGCGGGTTCGGCCGTTAGTTGTGTCCCTTCTCGTTACATGTGTCTGGGATAGGAACCTACGTTCGGTCAAGGTGGACATCTGTTGCTTCGGCATGCTCAGATATGGTTTCGTTGAGATTAGCATCTTCCATCTTGCTTAGGGGTTAATGCCTCGTGGTATGGTATGTGTTCAGTCCGGACGTTGCCGTTGATCGAAACAAAGACTAGATTTTGAGTAAACGAGGTGTTGAGGGATGTGATGCGGGTACCAACAACTGTTTTCGGCGTACCAGATCCTTATCAACATGTCGGCGGTTTTATAAAACCATGGTAATATCCCACGGTTTCCTCAAGAGCAGAGAATGCAGGGAATGATGGGAAGGCCTCTTCCGTCAAGTAGGTTGCATGATATAGGGTGAAAGAGGTGGGAAGCTGGACGGTGATAACACCACTCCTAATGACGTCGCTTGGCGTTAGTATACTGATCGATCGACCACTAGCAGCCCTAAGTCTATTTGGGGAAAGACGACCCAGAAACCAGCTCTGGCAATCTATCGGTACCGTAGGCCCCTGATCTTTAGGTACCTAGGCTCTAGGCCTTTATAGTGGATACTAACCGAGTCGCCTGACGCGTCGGAAACTTGAGCCCCACCACAAAAATTGCTACATAGGTACACAGTGAGCTAAGCCCGTTCTGACAGAACTCTCAAGCACGTTATGTGTAAATTGTCAAACTCTACGGTACTTTAGCTAAACTACCTGGCAGTTGTCGTAGTTGGCTAATCTTAGCGATCTTATGGTATAAGACAATGAGATGGCTTCTCACCAGCATCTCGAGGTCTACAGTCCGTCCTCTCCAGTTGAGACTTAGAACGAAGTCCTTGAGCACCATCGCCTCAGGCCTTCACAATGCAGAGCGAATCAGCGTACCTGTTGGCTCATCTGGCAGTGTAAATATAGAGTAAGCTGCCTGTACTCTACTTGAACCTTTTTCTTCTTGTGCATAATCTAATTTTTAACCAGTTTGCACAATTTGGCCAAGATCTCATCCTCAGAGCCGCTACTAGTCTATCTCCCGCCCTTCTCCACAGCAGCTCCTACAAGCGATCTAACACAGTTGCCGAGATTCGCTCAGAGGCATGCTACTGCCGTGATTCATTATCGGTGGACGGAGCCCTCATTCGGGGAAGAGCCCGTGAAGGAAGATGCCTCAGATGCCTCAGATGGCGATGAAATAGTCTTTCGACGATTTCATCCGGGCTGGCCGACACCGCTCCACGATACTTTAAAGGCTTACTCATGGATCGTCGAAAACCTATCACCCTCGACTTACACGCGTCGTGACATATACGTTTATGGCTCATATCTAGGGGCGTCGTTAGCTGTCTCGTTAGCTCTGACTGAAACATATCCGCACGAACGCATGGCCGTCCGGGGGTGTGTCGCCTATAACGGCATATACAACTGGACCATGTTCTTACCGGACCATCCCATCAATAAGCTACCTAAGTCGGTATCGAGGAATTTTCTGGAAGACATTCTTGCTGTTCCGGGAGATTCTGATTTCCAGGAGCTAAAGCAAATGATGAGAGAACTGTTCAGCAAGCCCGACGAGTTGTTTGATCACTTTGCTAGCCCTTGTCTATTTTTCCAAACACCAGGGCTGTTGATCCCTCCGTCGTTCGACGAGTCGGCGATCCCTCCTCCGTCCTCTTTGGCTGATCTGCCTTGGCTCCCCGAGGTGGTGGCAGAGGAGGCGATAGAGGAGGGGATACAAGTCGTGCCCCTCAAGCACCCCCGGAAGAGCCCCCTCGTCTTCCCCCCGCGCAAATCAACGCTTAAGATCCCCGAGATGTTGCTACTACATGAAACCCCACCACCTCTCCCACCCTCGCTACTGAGGAGACGCCAGAGGCGGAAGAAGAATAGTTATGGGAACAGCTTTGGCACTCAGGCGGAAGAATTGGCGGGTCTCATGCGCAGGAGCATCAATAAGATTGAGCTGAAGGAGCGCATGAAGTGGGACGAGAATATGGAGGAGTGGGATGGTGAAGCCGATAGGCGCATCCAAATGCATGATGTAGGCCTCAAGGGAGGCGATAATGTTGCTGATGTATGGCTAGAAGACCGAATGCTCAGGAGATCGTCCGAAATATCGACCACGACAATCCCGACGATATTCCAATAGATGCTTTCCCTCACTATAACGTAAGTCTTAGCAAGGGGGTCTTCTTTCTATGCATAACGCACTGTTTATACTAGCTACAAGATTTATACTATAGGTCATCATGCTAAAGGCAAGCACTACACTTATCTAGATATTGAACCAGGTATACATAAAAGCGAATAACTTTCAAGTGCTTATGGTCAATTATAATGTAAGATTCTTCTAATTGCCTTAAAATACTATCGAGAAAGCAAATAAGAGTGTATATCGTAAGCATTCGTGAGTCAATCTCAGGCATATACCTCGGTGCCTATCTCAATCTCAGACTAAGAGAAGTTCGACGCTTAAGAAGTGTTATACTTTGCAAGTTGATTTTCTTAGTGCAGACGGGCAGAGACTTGGTTTTAGAGAGATAGAATGCGCAGCAGTGGCACTCAATCAATACATGGCTCTCTGAGAGTCAAAATATAAAGAAATAAAGCTATCCTAGGTGCGATTATTTACTAACAGCGTACATTGAGATGCGATTTACGATAGTAAAGCCAACGGGCTAGACCCACTGCGCTGTGCCACAGAAATGTGTTCATCGAGGGACTAGGACAGGTGGTCCAAGCGCCTTGATATGCACTTACCTAGCCACCTCGCCTCGCTGCTCAGGTGCAGGCAGGTGCCACCGCCCCCGCTACAACACACATCTCGGCCGTCACGAAAAATCCAAAAACGAATTTACAACACCACTGCCGTACAGCCAATTCGCACTATTTCCTCGACATCAACCTCACTCGCTCCCAGCCAAACACAGCGAAAATGGCCGACTCTGTCACACTGCGTACTCGCAAGTTCCAGCGGAACCCCCTGCTTGCTCGCGTTCGTAATCCCCCCTACTACTACTGCTGCTGCTTGTCTTTGGAGATGATGCTAACATGCCGTGGGATTGCAGAAGCAGATGGTCGCGTAAGTTCTCTCTCCCGATACACCCATCCCTCGACTCTACCCTCGAAATCGGCAGCGACAGCAACAGCAACAGCGATAGCGACAGCGACGACTGTTACACACTCCTCACGATGCCGCGCTCTCCGTCTCAGCATACCTCTTTTCCCGCGCGGCACACGATCCTAACATGGAGAATTCTGTAGTGATATCATCCACCCCGACCAGGCCGGTATCTCCAAGGCCAACCTCCAGCAGAAGCTCGCCACCCTCTACAAGGCGACCCCCGAGCAGGTCAGCGTATTCGGCCTGCGCACCGCTTTCGGTGGTGGCAAGACCACCGCCTTCGCCTGCATCTACGACTCCGTAGAGGCCCGCAAGAAGTTCGATGCCAAGCACCGCCTCATCCGTGCCGGCCTAGCCACCAAGGTCGAGCGCGCATCCCGACAACAGAGTACGTTGATCTTGGACCCTCATCCCCGCATCCGCCTTGGACAACTGTCTTACCTACTCTTAAACAGGAAAGCAACGCAAGAACCGCATGAAGACACTCCGCGGTACCGAGAAGACAAAGGGCAAGAAGGCGAAGAAGGATTCGTAAAAGGTTTCATCATATGGGTCATGTCATAACGGTCAGGGTTTGGGAGCGAGACTAGCTACATAGTCAAGTAGTGTTTCGTGACAAAGGCAATGCTATAAACGCATCTTCATTGATACCCGGTATCAGCCGACCGATCCTGCCATACCTCGCAGCGGAATCAAAAGAAATATGTGACGAACCCATTCCCAGCCCTTCCCGAACTTTTCTATCCCTTGTCGGTGCCCGCGAAAGTGTGATATCTCTCGTGACGATGCACAAAGAGAGGGTGTTATTTATTAAGACGATGTCAAAACTGGTTCTACGAATTCGCAAGTTACTTGGCTAATATAGCAGTCCGTGAAACGGCCTATCGTTCATTATCTGACGGACCATGCGTGGCTTCTTAGGCTTGCTTTTTGGGGACGCTGTTCGCATCTCCAAGATAGTAGAACTAACTACTTAATACGAACGTCTTTTCATATTTTTGTTAGGTCCATCTACCTAAATCCAAGCTGAGAACTCTCTCCCCTACTAGCATGCCGGAATTCACTGGGTACAATTTCAAGTACTCGACGTTTACGTGAACTAAAGAGAATTGCGACCTAGAAGTTGATCAATGCACATTTCAACTTTCAGTAGCGAAAGTTGAGGTCTTAGTCTAGGATCTAACTACAGAATATAAGCCCAGTAAGACCTTACAAAGATGTGGAAAATAAGGTATCAACTGCCCTTTCCGCTCAATGACCCTGCCACAATTTGCTGTCCTAGTCGGTCTCGCTACTCTGGTACCTAGCTTGTGATGTGTAACCGGAATTCTATGGAATATGTTCCAAGCTCGTATCAGGTAGTTTAAGATTCTGGTTATTTAGAGCAAATCGGGGCAAGCGTAGCTTGCTTCACGCTTTAGACGCACATATATAACGGTAGGGTATTGTGTCTGTCTGTCCAAGTTTTGAGGGGCAAGGCAATCCTCGCATCTGCTATCTATGTATACAAGAGTAATTCTATGCTGTCTCATCCCGAACAACAACTATGACGCGCCAGCACACTTCTGGGCATAGTAGATGACCACGTTACACAAATATCGTATCCGAAAGCTACCAATCCATCAGCCGAGTGAAGTCCCATTAGCTACACCCCGGGTTCCCTTGCCAGGCCCCTGTTTCTCCTTGTAGAGTTTTCCCATACAGTGACTTTAAAAATATAAATATCCAAATTGCGCAAAAATGAAGTTATCTGGACAACCGGGCCTCTCCGGGATTCGAACCCGGGGCCTCTCGCAATTTCGAATGCACGAACCCAAAGCGAGAATCATACCTCTAGACCAAGAGGCCATGGAAAGTGACCAATCACGGAAAGTCGGCTTCGTCCTGCAGTACAAGTACGGAGGCGAAAATGCAGCCAACGCACACACATAAACCTCCATCTAGCATGATCGTGTAGAGAGAGATATGTGCTATATTCAGTCTTGAGTAGATGACATGCATTTTATTGCGTTGCGGAATTCCAGGCAGCGGCATCGCCGGACAAGAAAGGCACAGAAATGCACGACCATGGAGTTGGTGCTCAGCTGCAGTTGATTTTTCTTCAGCTCCACGATACATTTGGTTTGTGTCCATGCCTGAATTGAGGACCGAGTTTGAAGAACAGAAATACGTTCATTGCCGGTCCTTAGAACAAGATACTACCCATTTCCGTGTCCACAAAATACCAGTATCTCCATTGTTAACTAAAGACGTTCGGATCCGAAAGCAGCTCGGTACTAGTTCTTAGAAGCAATGCTTAACTTTATTTTTGCGTTATAATTTAGACATGGCAATGTCATAATCTCTAAATTCAATTATAAACAGTAGGCGCATCATATGTATGATTTAAAATAACGTCTAAGGAGTATAGGAGAGCGAATGAAAGGCGGGAGAATAGAGATCCGATCCTCATAGTACCAGAGGCTTGCTGCAGGATAGAAAAGTAAAGAGAATGGAGAAATTGTGTGTGTATATAGCAATAACACTGCACATTCTATAGCCAAGTAGAGAAAGATATGAAAGGGGAGGCTACGTGTAATAGTATCTGGATCTGTGTCACTTGCTGATATACTACTACTGGAAAAGTAAACGCAGTATCTGCTTTATTATTAATCGATGGAAAATCCCATTACCCAGTCTTCATGGTATATGACCCGCCTTGGTCAAATGCGAGTCCAGTAAGAAGCAAAAATACAGCAAACACCTCTAGCCTAGCTCCCATCTAGCATCTAACGGCTCTATCGTCTAAGGGAAGGTCTAGCTCTAGTTCTCAGACTCAATTCTTAGCTTCCGCCTCCTTCTGAGCAAGTCTATCGATGCACATCTTGATGTCTCGATTTAGCACAATTTCGTATGCGGCCCACATCTCTCTCTTCTCGGTCTCAGTGAGAGGAATCTCGGAACCTTGCCGACGACGACGGCTCTCGGGGAGCTCCTGTATGCTTGCGTTTGGATCCTGGCCTGTCTTGTCTACGAACTCATATGAGCGGTACTCGGTGTTCTCCCAGCCAGTTCCTGCGATCAGTTAGTCCACTGCTAGTCGCAATTACGTAGATGGAACTATGGTAATCGTGGAAGAGGATACGTTTCCTCCTCACACTACCATGCTCGTGACTTACCTCGTCCTGGGCTGATACCTGACCAATCTTGGGTAATGAAATGCAGGATGCCACCGTGGGTGACGAGGACAACTTGTGCGTCGTCTCCAGCATCCTTGATGAGATCCCGGAGGAAGAGTCTTGTGCTGCGAGCTCTGGCCTCAAGCTTCTGCGGGTCTGGGTAGTATTTCGTATCAGGAGTCTTCTTATTCCAGTCTTCAGTGACGAACTGAAGGTCGACGAGGTCGCCAAACTCCTTCTTCAGCGGTTCGATATCACTGCCAACATCGCAGGGGAAGAGGGAGATCTCTTGCGCGTCTTGGAGGGCGATGATCTTCTTTCCTGCTTTCACCTCCTCAGTGAAAGAGAACTGACATGTGAATATGGTTCGGCGGATTGGCGAGGCAACTAAGTGCGTGATCTTGTCGTGGAAAGGGAAGGCCTTGTTGAGCTCTTCACATTGCTTCTTGCCCAGGTCCGTCAGGTCCGGATCTCGGATCCACTGGTTCTCGACGCTCAGGTTGTGATGGCCCTGTGCGTGGCGAACTAGGTGGATGACTGGTGCCATTCTGGCGGTATCTTGAGAGTCTGCCTAGTGAACGAAAGCCGGCGCCCAGATTAGTGTACGATGTGGTTAGAAGGTGACTTAGTCGCACTCGTGAGAAAGACTATCTAGGTAGGTAGAGACAATGTGATATGAACCTGGGTTGGGTGGTGCAATCAATCTACGAAGAGGATAAAAACAACGAAAGGCAAGTTCGACTTAGTTTTAATACCTACCTACAGTACCTAGTAGTACTCAGTGCAACATATCGTACCTGCCTTAGTGAATGGTAAACGAGAACCGAAGGCGCCTTCCCAGAATGTTCAATTCCACGCCAAACTGTGGAGACTTTGACGTGAGCTAGTCAGTCTTTGGGTCGTATGAATTTGCAAATCATTCATTCTTACACCGTAGGAGGAAGCTACGCTTGACATGGCGCCGTGAACATCATTTTGCTTGGCAGCGCATACGGCATCGTGAACTCGAACTGCTCGTATAGACCGAGCCCGACTCCATAATAGGTCATCACTCATACAAATGACCGCACGGCAATATGTAGTTCTCCTCTCCCGAGCTCATCGGCGTGCATCGAGTAAGTTATGTTGCAAATTCTCTTAGTTCATGGTTATGACTCTTTGCGTCCCCCCGATCCACCCGATCTCGGTCGGCATGGTCCGGACCCGGAGGCTTGCAGCGACGCAGGTGGCACGGGAAGCCTGATTGGGTTACTCCGCCGGCAGCAACTGCAATTTCTAGCCGGGCCTTTGTTTGTGGACTAGGTATCAGGTATCATAATGTGTAATTTCGCCAACATCTAATTGGATGGAACGCCCATCAGCCAAACACGTGGCTCGACGCATAAAGGCTGTACGACAATTCTTGGTGGCTTTTCGCTGGAACGGAAAGGTGGGTTCGGTTCATTCATTCGTTCATCGTTATCATATACGGGGTGGGCCGGAGCGACGACGGCTGAATGTCAGCCGTCTCGATGTTGGAGATTGGCTTATTGATATTGATTGGGCGGTTTGTAAATCCGATAATGAGCAGCGAACTCAAGGTAGACAGAGATGGATTCTTATAATTCCGTGTTTCATGCCTTCCCGGACGCTCGGAATTCGACTGGTGAAATAATTTGATCCTGAATCAAGGGCCCTGGCTAATCGCTCAACCTAAAACACCTATGTCTATGTATGTGTAGATATTTATAGACCATGGCAACCTCCCTAATGAGCGACGACAGTGATGTAACTACTAGTCTAGAGTACATAGAGAGTGAAAATAAAAGCAATATAAACGTGTATGCGTATGTTATTAAGTAGGTAATGTGCTGCCTGCCTCAAATTTGGGCGTATCGCTGTCCTACATTATTGATAATTGACTAGCTAGTCACGTATTGCAACCACAGTGTGTTTCTGTCACAAATGCATGTCATGAATAACATATAAAAAGGATCTGAGACTTATTAATCAATGGTAAGAATATGCATACGTGGTGGAGAACCACGGCAGGTGTCTGAACGTGTGGGAGATATCATATAAGTAGGTTCGCGTAAGGCAAGGCGAGTGATAAGAATAGACCCTATCTAATCCTCTTCTGGCTTCTCATTCCCAGGTGACCTCCCGCTGGTACGCTATGTGCTAGCGCAGTGGCTGTACTTCCGTAACAGTGACCCGAGATAATTGCTTGCCTGTTGTGCAACCTTTTCTTCTCTCCTTTTTTTCTTGTTTTTTTCCGTGAAGCTGCTTGGCTACCGAGACTGGAAAGGAGGGCCCAAGCGCCTTGCATGGTGTGCAGGTCTGCGGGCGCTAACACACCCCAACACCAAAAAGATTGGCTGGGGTTTGCTTTAGCTCTGTCTCCTGGGTAGCGCGTATCCACCTTCTGGCGATATCATTTCCCCAGGTCCCACACTTCTACTACTCTTCAAGCTTCATCACCACACATCCCACTCTTTTATCCTACGACAACAACAACAGCTGCTATCATCCTCTTCTTCCTCTTCGAAGTTCAAATCCCTTGTCGAAAAGACTTAGTCGTGAGGCCGCCAAAAAGGATTCGTAAATACTGACAAAATGGGTGGAATTCGTGAAGCTCCCCTTTCCTACCCTCTATTCTCTGCCCCTTTTCACAACTCACTCTGCTGTTGAGATGATGGTCACATTCACGGCCATCACTAAGGCGGATGCGTCGTTCCCTATTTTCACTTCGCATGGCTCAGTCAGAGATGACGAGTCCCTTTCTGTTCGCTTTGCTTGTACCTTGTAGCTCGAACGTATGCTAACTTTCATATTTCGTATAGCGTTGAACGCACTCTCCAACATCAAGGGCAAGTTGAAGGCCGCCTTTCGCAAGAAGGACAAGAAAGCCAAGGAGGGCGAGTCCGCTGGTGCTACCACCGAGGCACCTAAGACTGACACTCCTGCTGGTAGGTGCAATATAGAACCCATAAAATCAAGGCTGCACGCCTTGAAAGATGATGCATAACGTAACAACACAAATTCGAACAACGCTAACTCGTGCTTAGCTGCCGGTGCTGCTGCTGCTGCCGCCGCTCCGGCTGTCACTCCTGCTGAAGCAGCCCCTGCTGTCGAGGCAGCCAAGCCGGCTGCTGACACTGGTAGGTTTATTTATCCCGCCACGACGCGCCCACGATAGCTACTTTTCGCTACTTGGAGCACTTGACTTGCAGATAGCTGTCCCACTTGGAGCTATGAGCACTTGCTAACCCCATATTAGCTGCCGAGCCTGCCGCTGAGGCGAAACCCGCGGAGACTCCCGCTGCTGAGGCTGCCGCCCCTGCTGCCGCTGCTCCTGCCGAAGCTCCGGCTGCTGCTGAGGCCAGTGCTGCCACCGACGCCAAGCCCGCCGTGCCGGCTAAGGAGTAGCGATAGACCCATCATCATCATCGCCATGAGAAGACCGTCTTGAAATGGCGTTGGCAGATGAGACGGACTATGGAGTGCTTTTCCCTGATTCTGCGTCGTAGCAATACGCGCCGATGCATTGTTGGTTTGGTGGTTACGCGAGGGTGTGCTCAAGTCCAGGGAGTACATTCCTACGCAAGTCGTTTGATGGAGTTTGAGATACCCTTCTCGAGGATCATAAATGTTTCTAAGTTCTAAATACCTACGCTAAGCTTATCGCCTATCGATACATGATAGCCTGTC